CCACGGTAAACGAAAGGATAATCGACGCAAATTACGGCCCAGAATAGATCGGTAATACGCGGACGAACGGCAAAATCGATCGGCGGAGGCGTGTCTCCTCTTCCTCCTGCGTGATCGATCCTCGATCACTCGGGCCGCGTTGTCGATCCCGCCGCGCGATCGGCATGCAGACCACGCAGCTAACCCGATCCCGAATTCATCGTGTCGACCTGGCCATTAGCAAATTACTACGGTGTAAACAGTATCGACGGTGCTTGCGGCGATCGGCGAATCGGCGTATATATGCGCGTGCATATCGCGAAAAGCTGTAGAAAGAGGCGGCGCGGGCGGGGCGGGGGTTCAGCCAGTTAGTTAGTAACCGGTGATTACGGCGACGTTTTACACCGGCTCTAGTCATCTAATGACCGTTCACATCAAAATGAATTTAGCGATCGGCAGCTGCTATCGTTTGCATCGCATGATCTCGGTAACTCGGCTCTCCTCGGAGATGCATTTGGAAAATTATCACTTATTCTGTATTATGACAAAATTGATAACATGCCGAGTAATCATATACGACTTTGTCCGATGCGATCTTGAATAAATCATTTGAATATAGAAAGAGGCCTACAGGAAAATAAAATTTAACTTTATCAAATAAAATCTTCAGGTCTGTGAGAAGCAGTGATAATTTTTTTACTTATTATATTTAATAGAAGGGGAGAGTAAAGAGCATTTTGTGTAAGACACATAATAATCCGATAAGCCTTTCAGTCCATTTACGTACTTTGGAACTTGCGTCCGTCACAATTACGATATACGAGCGATGTAGATGCAGTCGAAATATGTAATTTAAGAGCGTGTAGTTCGATACTTATTTAAGATTATCGCAAAGTACGTAATAATGTTCCGTATACGAGTATATCGTAAACTAGTCCCGACGTAGCGCGATAAAAGCATAATTCCAAACATTAACCTCCGATTTCTAATACCATTCCTCAATCAGCCATCGCTGTAATATCATGATTTTCCGGCAAATTTACGATCGCGATCAATGAAATCCCGTGAGCGGACCCCGAGTGTCGGTATTCGTTCAATTCCAGGAAATTGAAATGTGAAATTGATTGTATGTTATCGTTTCACGGCATATCATTAAAAACCGTCCACCGCGCGTTTATAGTTGCAATCGAGTTCAACGACGATATAGCGACCGGCGTCTGTCCACGTTCCCGTTACCACGTTCTATCTGAATCGAGCACGCGCGCTCAGAAAAAGATCGGCATCTCATTTTAATAACAATGATCTCTTCGACGTATTCGAAATCGTTTTATCTTTACCACTAGATCTACCAAAAGCAATTGAAATGATTTGATTTTATTCACAGTAATTTTTTGCCAAATTTATAACGATGTGTTTTCTGAGATTTTTTTGTAATTTTTATTGTAATATGTAAATGATTAAATTAATAATTTGCTTTCTGCCTCTTTGTCCTTTTTTTTAAATATATGTATCTTTAAATACTATAACTAGGTATACCCACGTTCATCACGTCGGTAGATTTAGTATTATAAAACTATGAATTAAAATCCCGCAAGAAAATAAAATCTGCGGAAGTTAAGCTTCTCTTTTTTGTATCATCTGTCGAGGAATCAATCCGTGTATTTTTATCTTAGAAGACCTAAAACGTTTTAAATTCGTTGCTGCACGTCAGGCCCGATTGGCGAGCCGATTTGTCGGCAGAATGTTCGATTTATCGACCGATCGTTAACGGACCTTGCCAAGAGCATACTCGCGCGTTGTTACACGTCGGGATACGTTACTAATTAGCTGACGCCCGTTAATGGCCTGGGACTCCATTAAACTGTAAAATATTTAAATAACTCGTCGGTCGGGCGTGTCCGGCCGCGAATTACTCGCCGTAAGTCAATCCCGGGGAACTCCCCAAGTGCGGGCCTTTCGAGAGAGAAGGAGCATTTAATGTATGTGCGAGTTAATGGGGTATTTTTCGGGAAGCTGACGAGCCCGTAAATTAATATCGCTATCCGACGCACATCTCCTCGCGGCGTGATGGCGGCACTGAGAATTAAACTCGTGTATTTTTGGGATACTCGAAACTGGATGCGTATAAATGATCTCTGCATTTGATAACAAAAAATTATTCTAAAGAAGATAAATATTTTGATATTTAATTTAATTTTTTTTATTTTTATTATATTTGTTAATGATACAAACGATGCAGCCATAAAGAGACTGTCGGTCTCTAAATTGAATATAAAAATTTAAGCTTGTCAAACTTTGATCTTTGATGGTGAAGGGTTCGCTTAATAAAAAACGCGTTTTTTTTTATCGTAATCATTTATTCATTATAAAGAAAGAATAAAGAGGTAATATTAAGGTTAAGTACAATGCACGTGGCTGGTTCAGTTTGAGAAATAGGGAAAGCGGATTTTTTTTGATCTCGATTTCGATTCTGATCATAATTTCTATGCGATAATTTCTATTATTTATCGCAAAAGACTCGAAAGACGTGACTTAATTCATTTTCTTGCATTTTTTACTTGATGTTATGTTATCAGGCTTGACAATTGTTACGTTTGTTGCTCGAATTGCGAGATCGATAAGAATCTCAAATAGATCCTCGAGGAAATTTGAAGTAAGAAAGCCAGCAAAAAGTAGCCGGACTGTCGGTACGGTTATGTATGCGTGTCATCGTACATTATGCAAACAGGACAAGTGATTGCAAGGTCTTGTTAAAAATGACACGCATCGTTACAGATATTTACAGACGGCTTACGCGCTAAGTAATGCTTATACAGTCGTAAAATCTATAGCAATAGCGTAGAATATTCCGATTGTAAATAAAGTATATATAGATTTATATAATATATATATATTTATATATAAATAGTATCTCTCTTTCTCTTCATTGCCTAAACGTGTACATAACGTGTCGTGTAAAAGTAAATAAAACTACACGGTCTTGGGTTTCACACGATCGTCGATCAACGCTATGTGAGGCTTTATTGCGATTGCGACGGGAAGAAACGGAGATCTCTAGCGGGACAGATATTCCTTGTGTGTTTCATAAGTTCGCCTTTTTTCTATTTCACGTTTCAGTTAACAGTCTCTAAAATTCCGACTTTCCGTCGCGACGCCGAATAACCTCCAAATGGACGGACACTTTTCAACCTTTAGATAAGGATCACTTTGGAATCGCGATTTACTATCGTCGCCTCTCCAGCGAAAAGAGAACGATTTACAGCTTTTAATCAATCCTAGCAGAGTCAAGAAGCTAGTTACAAAATATTTAATTATAATCGAAAAGTGTTTTATATTTTATTATGTATATATATATATAAATTTACTTTAAAAATGTTTATAAAGTATGAAAAAATGTAGAAATTGTAAATGGGACAGAAAGTAATTAGATATTTAAATCAATTTTTTTTCAAAGAGAGAATTTTTCTAAAAATAAATTTCAAAACTTTTTTTATCTATACTCTAAATTTAATATTAAAACCGAAAAGTTTTATATAAAATCTACAAGTTAAACTTCTACAAGTTAAATATTAATTAAATATCACATACAAATTGTATTCATATCTATTCGTTTATTGTTGATTCAACATTTATTACATTTATTTACATTATTTGATGAAATACAAAAAAATGATCTTAACGAAGTCCACCCAGACTTACTATTCAGAACTTGATTCTGCTAGGATCAATATCTGTTTCGCGCATATTTAATGATCAGCATTGCGCCAGACTAATATCTCACACGTCTTACAATAAATGGATCGAGTAGCTTATAAAAAAAATTTTTTTCCGTACCAAAACGCTAATGTGCCTTGATAAATTCATCGTATAATGTGTATGATATTAGTCTTAATAGAAGCTGACGTGATTACCGACTATGCGAACTAATTAAGAAACCTACCTCTCGATGCATGCGAAACAGATTCAAACGATGTACCACGCGATATACTTGCGCGTGCAAGTCACTCGATTTGCACGCACAGTTCTATTAATTCCCTCGCATACGGAATACTGTAAACTATATACACGGTGCGGTGTACATGAGTAACGGTAATTTCACTCTTCCTTGCTTTCGTTCACGCTGTTCCGTGTCCCTTTTTGTTTCATGTTATGGAAAGATGTCATGGATAATAACACGTGATAAACAAAAGAATTTTGAGAAAATTGCATTGCAATAAATTCTTTCGTTAATAATTACATTTTCGAATGTCGAACTATCAATTTAAAAAAAAGTTTAAAACATCTCTTTCCACTTCTTTTTTTTTATAAATCGCAAATTACTCGAATTGAATTATTCAATCAGCTGACGAGCATGAAATCAGAAAGATTACAATAAAGAGATTGACACATTTTTGAATATTAAAAAATAATCCAATCGATGTAAAGTATAGAAGTGCAATTTCAATTTTTATTATAGAAAAATGATGCACAAATTGCTTGAGAATTTTGCTTTCAATCATCCACACTACTAATTTTTGGGGGATATTTTTTGCCGCGCAGAACATATTGGAAGTAAACACATTAAAATCATATTCGATGATAGATTTTTTTTTTTACGGAAAACGGAACTTATCACATGCCTTTCTATCTTTCGACGCTAAAGAAATCTGCTCCGTTTAACACAAACGTGCTAGCACTCACTACATACAGTTTGTTTACCACGAAACTCGATCACACATTTTCCTAAGTTCGTCGCGGTTATCAATAACGGACCGATCAACAACACTCGAATCACAATCTGACCAATGTGGCGTTAAACGATCTAAAATCGCCGTGTGTAGTTGAACATCACATTTGCTGTGCTTGCTGCAACATTCGATTAAATATTTTGATATTTGGTTGAGATCCTACGTCACATTGAGCAAACGCTGATTTAAGTGTGTGTTTAAGAACTTCACGAAGTTCACTCACTTGACTTAATCTGCCGACATTCTCCGTGCGGAGGAATGCCTGCCATCCAGTCCATCGGATCCACGACCGCCCGAACCGATTCAGGACAGACTGGCGCTCGTTGTCTGCCGCACCTGACCCCGGCAGCGTTTCAACTTATGAGATCGCCGTTCTTACGCAACATCTCCAGCTGCATCTCGTACTCGCGGGCTTTGAGTCTCAGCGAGGCGATGCTGTTGGTCCTCCTGTCGATGTCCGGTAATCCGACGCTACCCGTAGGCGAGCTCTGCGGCGAGGTGGCCGTCGGCGGCGGCGGGGGTGGCGGCGCCACCGGGGGATGCGACAGGGTTATCGCGGAGGCAGGTGGCGGGGGCGGGGGTGGCGAACTGCGCACCAACTTCGGTCGCTGCGCCGCCGATATGTTCGCGAGCAAATTCTGGAAGGAGGCGGCGGACGTGTACGGCAGGGGCATGCCGGGCGGCAGCAGCGGTGGCGGGGCCCGATGATAGGGATGAGCGGCGTAACTACCGGAGAGGACCGGGCCGTGACCCAGCGGCGGATAGCGAAAGGCCTCGAAGGGCTTCCTGTGCGGGAAGTTGACCAGATGGGCGAAGGGGTTCGGCAAGGTCGGCGCCACGACCGCCGACGGTGGTGGGTACGGTGTGTAGGGATGCGCCTGGGGCCCGACCTTCTCCTGTTTACGCCACTTGGCCCGCCGGTTCTGGAACCAGACCTGGAACACATGATGAACGAGCGGTCTGATTAGGCGCCGTGTTCGTTCGTGGAAGGCTCTTAGGCCGCGGCGATAACAGCAGAGTCCGGAAGGATTCTTTTTGCGTCCTTCGGAATCTGTCGTATTACGCAACCGCGCGGCGCAGTCAATATTTCGAATAATAACAGTAGCATTAATGATCAGCTGCGTATCTACGGACCGATCATAACAAAAGGAATATTCTGCAATTTTCTTACCAATCTTTTTTGCAATAAAAAAATTTATTCTGCTATTTAAATATATATAATATATAATTTATATGTATAATTGTAATATTCAATTATTTTTGATAATCAGAATATTTCCTTCGCCTTTCCTAATAATAATTTATAACATTATGATATATATTTAAAATACTTGATAACGTTTTATATAATATCTCCTTATTATGAGTTTTAAACGTTTTAATGTCGATTGCCTTTGCAATTATCGCAACGAAGAAATAATAGAAGTAAAGATTTAGATCTCGTTTAAAAGTTTCAAAAAAGTCGTTTATTCAATTCCGGGTCAGAAAAGATAATCGATAGGTACTTTCTTCCTTGGAAGTTGTTGATCCGCGAGAGTTCGAATTCCGGTTACAGTGACGCATTCTCCCCTTTTTCAGGAAGGTAGAGAGCAGCGTATCATTACCGTCGATGCTCTAAGGAAACCGAATACTGCTGCCAGGCAGAGATCTCTCAGGATCTCTGCCCGTCCGCGTTTCTCCCCCTTCTACCAGCCTCTCTTTTTCTCTCTTCTTTCGTTTGTCTCTCTACCTGAATTTTACGTTTCTCCTCGAAAATTAACAAAATATTAGCTGTCGTAAAACCGTTAGGTTAGCGATCCCTTGGCCCACTTTTCGTTTCTGGCAACTCGAGATACTCGGAATCGGCATCGCTGCGTGTCAAATTCGCAATGTATATATTTTTGTATATGAAGCATTTTGAGAGAATACAAATATGAAAATTACATTATTAATAATACTGTGCTCACATGAGAGCTTTTTGGTTTTATATTATCGTGCAAATAAGTGTTGCAATTGCTCAATTGTAATATTCAATAAATCACTGCAAATGTACTATTAGTCAGTCGAAACCCAGACAACGTCTAACATCGATGCATAAGACGTCTTTTACTGTCTTTTAGTCATCTTTTAGATAGTTCTTGTAGAAGTGTCTACAAGATATTTGAAAGACGTTTTATGTGTCAATTTTAGACTTTGTGCTGTCTAGGAAATAATATAAATGAGCGGAAATAAGTAAGAATACATCGATTATGCGTCAATTTTAAACTTTGTGCTGTCTGGGAAATGATATAAATGAGCGGAAATTAGTAAAAATACATCGATTATCGTACATGATTATATGTATAATGGATACACAATTTTAGTACGAAATCATTTAATTTATTCTCTTTACAGAATGGCATCAAATTCTAAGAAAAAAAAATTATAAAATATTTTTGCAATGAATAAAATATTCTTAGAATAAATAAAATATTTTCAAAATATTTAAATTGTTAAATAATTAAAATATTAAATATTTTTACAAAGTTTTTGCTATAGTCTTACAATTAATTGTGAAAAATATAACAATGTCATTGCTTTGTTTTACGATTTAAAATGCTCTGCTCCGTTTTATGGCTTAAACGCTCCGCGAACAAATCAGAGTTTGATGGCGACGTAAAACCTAAGAAGATTGAATTCTAATATTTGTAAATAGAACTTGGACAACGAATACGAATCGCTGTTCGTGATGCGCGTCCACCGGGTTCCAACGCATTCCATTCCATTTCAACGCGAGGCTTCCTCGAAGAGACCCGGAGCTCTAATCAGTTCAGCGGAAGTCCGTTCCTCCTCACTCCTTCGTCAATCCGTGTCCCTCTTCTCTTTTCCCTTTTTCCGTCACTTTTTCATGCCTCCACTGCGTCCTATCTCTGGTTGTTGGGTCGATTTTATGCCGTGCGCGTCCCGACCGAACGCAAATAACGTATCGCCGATTTCGTTTTAATATCAGGTCGCGCAAAAGAAGGAAAAAGAAAGAGAAAGAGGAGACGTGTCTCGTGACTGATCGCAATGACGGACGGCTTAGGACAACAACAATTCAACTTATCCAATCTCTCCCGCGCGCGCGAGCACCTGCTGCGATTCCGGATTTTTGTTTATCATCGTTTCCGCGGTAAAGAACGGCCGCGAATTCCAAGCGCGGCTCGTTACGTCGATTGTTCGAGTAGAACTTTTCGAGAAGCGGCCATCTATCCTGAAAGCTATCCCGGGTCTTTTATCGTTTCCGGTGAGGGAGATGTTTCATGTTACCGCTTCAGAAGCGCGACTCTCGAGATACTTTCAGCGAGAATTCTCGTCAAGTAATCGCGCGAACAGTTCTCCATCTTCTGCAAAGTTTCCTCGCTCTCTGACTGCCATTTCAACTGTATACTGGATTGAATTTCAATTCATCGTGTTTATTGTGTGAAATCATTTCTCTGAAACTTCTTGAATACACATTTTTTATGCATTTATTCATCTTTCGATTAGAAATTTCTTGTAATAATATTAATTATTCTTCAAGACATGCAAATTAAGATGAAAGATACAATAATTAAAAAATACTGTTATCATTAGATCTTTTTTTTACTAAACCAATTATTTTATTATTTGTTTTCTATACCTATTTTATGCATATATATTTTGTATTTTACTTTTATATTTATACGTATATATCATAATTTTCGATATCATATTTTTCTTCTAACTTTATACATTTTGTGCCGAAGAGTCGAATGGCACGTCACGTTGGAGGAACGTGACGGCAATATCGTATGTTGGAAAATGATGTCTCTTCTCTTCGTTCTCTTCAACGGCCGTAAGGTCGCGTAATAGAGAAGACCTTACACGGCTCGCTTATTTTTCCCATTTACGAAGAGAAATTCACCTCGTTTTCCGTCGACATGCGATACTCTCGCGTCGAATAGAACGAGTGCGCGTTCCACATTGCCGTGACTCCGGCTTTCGGCAGCATCACGGATTTGGGAATCAAAAGTACCGCCGCCGAGTGATGTAGACACTCCCAATACGGTTCGTCATGGTGCGGCCTCGTCATCGTGTGGACGGAGGATAGACGTATGCCCGGATGACTTTGCGATTTGACGATCGGCCTCGATCACTGGCTCACCGCCGGCGAGGCGCGGCGACGGGCGGCGGCGGCGGCGACGACTGCGAGCGCGTTCCGTGAGATCCGTGGATTCTATCCCGCATGGTAGCTCGCTATCGAGAAAATGATTTCGATCGATTTGCTCGATCTGAGATTCTATCCGATCTCTGATATTCAGATCGCTCGCGAGATCGTTTTTTGTTTTACAAAGAAATCGTATGCTTTATAAAATAACAGGACTATTTGTGAGCAATTTTAAGTATGGCGCTGAAAATAGGTTTTAGATTTTTGCTGAAAACTTTGTTTCCATTCAGTGTCTCATACGTTCACACGTATTGATGTCTAAAAGATGATCGTCGATATTGCCGCATATTATTATAATATTAATGAAATGTTGTTATCGTCTTCTTTCTTCTAAAATATTAATATATTAATTTATATTATAAAGACTCATTTTTATTTTAAAAATTTTCGTGATAATTATATTATATCTAATATCGTATTATGTGTGTATTTAGACGTGTAATTGATAGATTTTAATGACTCGAACTAGACGTAATAGATGTGTTCCCAACAATATCATTTAAATCAATCATTCTGCCAAGGGGTCGAATCTACGAGCGGTTAAAGACGCGAGATTTACGATTGCGCAATAATCGATTACAATCCCCATATTTATATTTTGATTTTTGTTGCTTCGAGGAGGAGAGGCATCCGAGCCGAATGTGCGCGTTCCGCGTGTACCGTCCGCCCGCCTCGGAATCTCGCCTAGACATACGGGAGATTAGAGGCTCCCTGGCATCGTTAGGGTAGAGAGAGGAAGGGGGGGTCGCGGGTGCCAGGACCCCCCACAGCGAACAGGATTGCCCCCAGCAGGGCGCTAAACATCTCCGACTCTCCGCTTTTAAAACAAAACGCAACCACATCGCCGCCGGAACCTACTCGGTTTCGTGCTTAATCGTGCCGCATTAATTACACGAACGCCGAGTACGTTCGTTTCTCCTGCTTCTCCACTTCAATCTTTTCCTCTCTCTCTTTCTCGCTCTCACTGGCGAAGAAGATTTTCCCGCGCGTTCGACACACGTATAGATACTTTCTCGGGCGAATCTTTGAACCCTTTCAGACTTAAATCGCGCTTGTAATCGCCTGCTATTGAAGAACTCAGCTGAAAATAGTCGCGACGCACGATTTAATAAATAGATTCTGCGAGTTAATCTTATGTCTATTCGTTACATCATATTTGTAATTGCGATTTAATTGAGGAATTCAGATGGAGTTTATTTGAAGACATATCCTGAATTTTGTTTCTCCGTTTCAATAATTGAGAAAAGAGTATATATATTTTATTATTTGTTGAATATCTCGCAATATTTTTCCGGAGATGATTTGAGAAGAAAACAGATACAAAACACAGATATAAAAAACTTGACTTGAGATCCAACAGTACAATTTTAAAGTGTTAATTCGCTGCAACATTTTTTGCGGAGATTTAATAATTTTTTTTTAAATCGATTTATTGTAATCATACAATTTTACTTTTATCGTGAATAAAAATCTGAAAATGATAATAAATTAATATACGTAGACAATTTCATGATTAAAACAGATAAATTTTATTCTATAAAAAATGGATTTAATAATTTAATAATTTTTTAAATAGAATAATTAAGTAATTTAATTAAATCGTCATTAAAAATTATTTACTAAGCAATTGTCACAAATAAAATTTGTTATTACATGTAATACATTTAATATAGATATATTTAGATTGAAGCAAATTCTATTGATAATCAAAATTTAAGTAACAATATTTTCAAATATTTTCTCAATCAA